AAGCGTTGACGAAGTACATCAAACTATCAGCGATATCTTTTGAAACAGAGTTCAGAAGCCATGAAATCACCATTGAATTGCAACGATTCCAGGTATTGAACAAGAGATTATCCGGTTAAGGCCGAGGAAGACTGCCATCAACAAAGGGAGATTTGTTTTTCGCTGTTAAAGCAATGACCATAGCTCGCGACCAAGAATTGAAATTAGAGCCGGTCAGGAAGTGAGTGACTAAGATCAATCCTAGATGATCACCATTGCTAAGATAATAGGGGCTACTGGAATCATCGACTGAATTCGAAGAACCGGAAGATGTGCCACCACTGGGATTGGAATTAGTGAAAGTATTATTATTAGTACCACTGCCACGAGCCATGGAGAAAGGCAAGGGCAGGGATCAGAAAATTACTACTGATACCATTTCACAAACAGAGAAACGAATGCAGCAGAAAAATAAAAACTAATTGTATTCAATGTACTGATCAACAGTGACCTGATTTCCTATTATATAGGAAGTTTACAGATGATAACTAACTTCCGTAAAATGCGCAAGAGGAAAATCAGAAACAACCAAAACAAAAAAATGAGTAAAGAACCTTGGGATACACCACCCCAAAAGCTAGCTCATAGGGTGGGAGAGCCCAAGGTCTTATAAACTCCACATTAGTTGCACATACAATCAATGTGGGACTATATATCTCAACACGCCCCCTCACACAAGAGCCCATTGGGCTTGAAGAGTGGACAATGCAACACGCTCAGCCTACCTGTGCTAAGAAACTCCACAAGAGAAAGTGGGGGGCGGCGAGGCTCTGATACCATGTTAAGAACCTTGAGGTCACCACCCCAAAAGCTAGCTCAAAGGGTGAGAGTGTCCAAGGTCTTATAAAGGCCACATTAGTTGCACATATAACCAATGTGGGACTATATATCTCAACAAACAGAGAGTAACAAAGAAAGGAAATGGAAAAAGAATTTTCTATCTTTAATAGTACCTATATCCATTCTTTTAGGGGATGCCGTGTGGCATGTCTTCCCCATCATATAAATTACGGACCAATTTAGTGGAGAAGATTCTGAAGGACTTAATTTTTAAGTGTTTTTTTTATTAGTTCAAGAGTTTCATGTTAGGTCATGAATGTACCTTAATTCCTCATTGATAAATATATTCTTAACCTGTTATTCTTTTTCGATTTATTATTGCTCTTTACATGGTGAGAAATTTTCAAATGCAAAATTAGTTTTTTTTTTCAATAAAAACAAAAGACCAGTATCTCGTGGAGCAAATTAACGGATGTTCTAATCACCAAAAATAAAATAAAAATTTAACGTATGTTCCTACTCGCACAGCTAAGAAGTGTGCATTTATGTTATATATTCTAAGGCAAAACTATTTCTACCGTTGTTGCAAAAATAATTTTGTCTACAGACCCACAAAAAAATTATTTTATCAGGATCCAACTGGTAAATTTTGTTTTAAAAAAAATAGCGAGTCTTATTTTTTGTCTTTAAGACAGACATTATTTTTTTGCTGTGCTACAGAAAAAACAAAACCCATATTCTAAATAATTAGACAAAAAATTGAATCTATGTTAGGTTTTTAAATAAAATATCTAAATTTCTCACTTTTTTTTTTGTTACCATAAGTTGAAATTATTTCGTATAAAAGCTAGTAGCACTTACAATTCTAATAAAAAATATATTATTTTTTTAAGTATTTTCTGAAATCTAGTAAGGCTGTCTACGGTATACCCACACAGTCTCCAATTCATTCTAAAAAAACGCCCACAAGTTCAAAAAAAAAAAAAAAAACACCCACAAGTTCAAAAGACAGAGATACTAAGTTTCAGAAACTAAGAAGCTCATAACAATTTCCCTGTGCCCCGTTACTGTGCGAAGGTAAAACCAAGTTTTTTATATTGACACAAAAGAGGGATTAGATTGTGTGCAATCAGGATCCTTTTCCACTTTTTTTTTTTTAAAAAAAAATCTATCTTAGCGTGTGACTTCGGATATGTGTATAACCATGTGAAAATGATTATATGTGTATAATTTAAAATTTAATGTGCATGATCATCGAGATAATATCACATTATTCAGTAGTTAAATTTGTTAAATTCATATTCTACAAAAGTTAATAAACAATATATGTATCACACAAAACATACAACGCAAAAACTACATATGCACACTATCATATGCTTGTATACAAGTTTATATATAGTTTGGGTTTTATTAATCTCCTTTTACATAAGATAGGTATCTTATGTTGTAGAGAGAAACTAGGTGAGTCCCACCATTACAAGAAAAAAGAAAAAAAGTGAGGTGCGGAAATCGAAGTGAGAGAAAATGAGATAAGCTACCTCATGTAAAAGGAGACTAATATTTCCCATATAGTTTTAGGGTTCACTTTTTCTGCAGTTACTGCAGATAAATTATCTGCAGTAAGCCAATACGATGTCGTTTTAGGACATAAATCATGATATTTTTGTAATTTTAGTTTATTTCAGGGTTATAATAGTCTTTATATTTATAATTTTTTAAGATTTCAATACCAAAACGACGTCGTTTAGGGAATAAATGCAGATAACTTATCTGCATTAACTGCAGAAACATTTTTCCCATAGTTTTAACGATAATGTATTAAATTATGGGTGATTTCGGCGGATCAATCTATATTGATTGACTGTCTTCATTATGTTTTCGTTTTTTCTGCAGTTATTGCAGATAAGTTATCTAAGTAAGCTCAATACGACATCGTTTTGAGGTGAAAATTATGGTGTTTTTGTAATTTTAATTTATTTCAGAATTATTATAGTCTTTATAATTATAATTTTTTAATATTTCAATATCAAAACAACATCGTTTTGGGAGTAAATACAGATAACTTATCTACATTAACTGCAGAAATATTTTTCTGTTAAATTATTATTACAATATATATATAGCTAGAATTAGTTTTCAACAAATATTTCTAGCAAGTTAATTAATTATTAGTTTCAGTTAAGCAGCAATCTTCGTCAAACAGTTATATGACTATTAAATGTGCCGGCAAAATATGAAAGTGAGATTAATCTAACCCTTGTCTTCGTTATAAGAGTATTCCCACTTTAACAATGTTATAATGGAAAATAAACATATATGAAAAGAAGACTTTGGCTTTATTAAAGCATTTATGTGCCTCTCAAACGGATTAATAATGCTTACGTTACATTATAATATTCTAATTAGTCAGACACTTAATGTGTAATTATTTGTTGAAGGGTAAAGGTGTGCATGACAATCATTTTATTTTCTAGCACTGTTTCTGAAAAGAAATAATTTTTTTCTATTTGTGCCATGGAACAGTTTCTGAGAAGAAGAAAAAATATGTTTGATAACATATTCTATTTTTGTTTCGAGAATGAGAATTGTGTTTGATAATACAACAAATAATATAATAAAAAATAGTCTCTATTAAATATAAAAAAATTTCAGAACATTACTTTTCTTTCCATATGGTGTGGTTGTAGTGGTGGTGGCAGTCGGGGTGGCATGGTGGTGGTGATAGCAGTGGTGGTACGGTAGTGGCGGTGGCAGTGACGTGGTAATGATAGTGGTGGTGGTTGTGACGGCAGTGGCTGCGGCGATGACGGTGGTAGTGGTGGGGATGGTGGTGGTGGAGGTGACGGCAATGGCTGTAACAATGGTGGTTGGTGGCGGTGACAATGATAGCGGTGACATGGTGGTGGTGGTAGTGGCTGCGGCGGTGGTAGGTGACAATGGTGATGGTGGTGGCGATGGGGTGATGATGGTAGTGGCGGGGTGGTGTAATGGTGGCGATGGTGGTAGTGGTTGGTGGCGGCAGCGGTGGTGACGGTAGTGGCTGCGACAATGGTAGTGGTGGCTGGTGACAGTGGTGGTGATGGTAGCGATGGCGTCGTGGTGGTGGTAGTGGTGGCGATGATGGTGGTGGCAGTGGCGTGGTGATGGCGATGATGGCGGCAGTGGTTGCGATGACGGTGGTGGCGGCGATGGCAGTTATGATGGTGGTGATGGTGGTATGGTGATAGTGATGGGTGGAGGTGGTGGTGGCGGTGGCATCATGGTGGTGACGACGGCGGTGGCGACAATGGTGGCAGTGGTCGTGTCGGGATAATGGTGGTGGTGGTGGTGGTGATGGTAGAGGTGGAGAGTGATTGAAAGAGATAAGTGTTTTTCATTTTGTGCATGGGAACAAAAAAAGCAGAATTTTTTTGATTCTTTTCCCTAACACAAAAATAAACCGATTTATCCTGAGAACAAAAAAATATATCGATTTTACCAAACGAATTTTCTATCCATTTCTATTATCGAGAATAGAAATTAAAAAAAATTAATTAATTTTAGAAAAGTTATCATGTACACTCTAATAATCCCAGCTTCCAGCCGGAGGAGGGGTGACTGAGTTCTGAAATTTCAAACCTTTATGATGATGACTCAAAGCAATTTATATAGCATGATAGTGACAGCCCAACTTAAATAGTCCCAGTCAAATAAATGACTTGTCAAACCAAGGAACAGCAAGAGAAAGGTCAGTAGTCATGCAATATATCATGCATTTACAATATTTTTCTATTTTTGTCATCTTCAATATCGTTATAGTTTGTTATTTTTGTAACAATCCACTAGGGGTATATCTAAAACTATTTTCATCTTACTAAAAAGTATTTTCAGTACTACCATAATATTGAATATTCGGTACATTATTATAATATATGCATTTATTCTGTCCACCACTTTACAATTTATGTATGTCACGTATATCTCTTTGAAATAATGTCACATTACTTATTCTATTTGTAATAATGCAAAACCAAAGAAGTAATCTCTTTGAAAGAGGCACTCTGAAATTATAAATACATATACAAAGTAGTAATCTCTTATTTCATGATGGTAATTACTTGATTAAAGTAAAAGCAATGAATACAGTAAACTTGTTAACAAAAGACACAACAAAGTTACTAGAACACTTTTTGTCAGGTTTACATTGAAATTGTGAATGAGGGAAGATCAGGAGGGATTGGTACATCTGTAGATCCTTCAAGCATCTGTAAAACTTTCTTCATGGTGGGTCTTAGGGATGGATCCTCCTGAACACACCATAGAGCAACCATAACATACTTTTCCACCCTCTTCATGTCATCTAAGGCATCCTTGTCATCTACCACCAACAGATCAAGTTTCCTTTCCTGAAAGCAATCATAGGCCCAATCTATCAGTACCATCTGGTTCTCATTCTCAACCTTTGACTCAAAGCTCTTCCTGCAGCAAATGATTTCTAGCAACAAAACTCCATAACTGTAAACATCAACCTTAATGGTAATAGGCATGTTCCTAAACCATTCCGGGGCAACATACCCTTTAGTACCCCTTATTGCTGTATTAGTTCCAATTTGGTCAATCTTCAAAAGCTTGGCTAAGCCAAAGTCAGATATCTTAGAAGTGCAACTGTCATCAAGCAAAACATTTTGAGGCTTAATGTCACAGTGTATGATTTGGGTAGTGCACTCTTCATGCAAATACAAGAGTCCCCTGGCTGTCCCTAAAGCAATCTGCATTCTTTGAAACCATGTTGGTCTTTGGGAGTCAAAAAGGAAGCTTGCTAAAGATCCTTTGCTCATGAACTCATAGACAAGTAGCCTATGCTCTCCCTCGTTACAAAATCCTACAAGTTGGACCAAATTCCTATGATTTGTCCTACCAATTGCACTCACTTCTGTTTTGAACTCATCTTCATTTTCTTTGACCATATTGTTTAACTTCTTAACAGCAATGGGGTTCTCCATAAGGTCTAACAGAACTCCTTTGTAAACTGTTGAAAATGCACCACGACCCAGCTCTTCCTTGAATCCATTTGTTGCCTTCCTTAACTCTTCATAAGTGAAACTTCTAAGAAACATGCCTGTGATGAGTTGGCTTGATTGATTCACCTGAGAATTCCTGTGGCCAAACCTGTATGCAACTAGAAAAGCTGTCACTAACAAGAACAAGTTTACCACCACAGAACTACTTAAAAGCACTGATCCAACAATAATCAGCTTTGACTGATTATTCCTTTTAATAGGACCCTCAAATTTCGTTGTAGAATTATCTTTTCTTGTCTTTATCAGAGCTATCCCTCCAACAGTTGAATCAATTCTTCCATTGGATAAGGGTAGCTTCTTTTTCCAGCATTCACCGTTTCTGAAAATGGCAACAGCACAGAAACAATCAACCAAGCAAGCCTGTCTGCACCAATCCACAGTCACTGACTGAAAATGTTCAAAATCTGAATAAGGCCAATCCGTATTTTCCATCTCATAGAAATCAAAGAGATCAGTTTCTGGGAAAGATTCATTACAACTCTGAGAATCAAAGTCCTGCATGCATCCCTTCATCACATCACCTGGATCAATGAAGCTATAACCAGATGGACACTGGCAACTCTTTCCCCCATCAAGAGTACAATAGCTGTTGAACCCACAAGCTCCATTTCCTACTGGTTCAGTAATACTCATACAGATATTTGAAGGTATAAAGGACACAGATGACCAAGCCTTCTGATTGGAGCTACTACTCTTGGGGTAGACATAGTGCCTGAAAACTCCATCATGTTCAAGGATTGCTCTCTGGTAGAAATCTTGAGTAGAGGGAGCATTTGATGATATCATTTGAATTATGCTCCCATTATTTGCACCTAGGAAAATATACCCAGTATTGTTGAAGACCAATGAGAAGCCACGGCCAACAACCTTGGTATTCCAATAAGGATAATTTAGAGAATTCAATATTGGGAAATTTGTGGTGTAAAGCGCAAGAGTCCCATCAGTGTTTAGCACAAACTGGAATCTTCCACTTGAGTGATTTGTCTCAAGATATCTTGCAACAAGAGTACCAGGTTGGTTCAGAACCTGTCCTGGTAAAATTGTGTCAGTTGGTTGATTAAAACTCTGCCACAAATATTGAGAATTTTTGCCTGCAAGAACAAAGTTGCCAGTATCAAGCATTGCTGCATAAACAGTTCCACCACCTGAGGAACCAGCAGGCCATATCTTATTGCCACTGGGATCACTGAGCAAGAACCATCCATCTGAGGTGAGCTCAATTTTTGAACCCTTTGGTGCAAGGTTTTGTCCATTGGCTGACCAGACAATGGTTCTTTCTGGTATTTTGTTGAACCAAATGGATAGTAAGAACCCATTTTCCTCAATCTGTTGGAACCCAAATGCAAAGTCACCAGATGGCGATGCTGCCCATGAGGAGTTATCTGCTTGTGCAGTGAAGGAAGTCCCCAAGGAAATGTTCCCATAAGTTTGAGCAACAGTAGAAAATGGAAGTAACGCTAGGAAGAAAAACAGCAAGAGATGATATTGATGATCAATAGCCATTACGTGAATGGATGAAATTTCTTCTTGTTATGAAACATAAATGGCAACTGATTCTTAATTCTAAGCATCAGTTATTACCATATATATTATGTATTATGTCCATAACAAGAGGAAAATGTGGAATAACTCGTTGCTTAAAGTCAGATAGATTTAACAAATAATAATAGTTCAGTTGGTGAATGAGAGCTGAACAAGTAGAATGAGAACATGTGTTAATACTTTTTGAGAACTTGCCCGTAACAAAATTGTCTTTTGTACAAGATAACTTTGGTATATAAAAAAAAAAAAAAAAATCAAACAGATTCTGTCTGTCTTTTAGTTGTTGTACGTTTCTCAACTGAAAATGACTCATGCGACTATTCAAATTTCATTGACTTGTCTAAATGAAATTTTATTGGGATAGTTTGTTGCATATGTAACCTTTGTTTGTTGGACTTAAAAAAAGTCATGAGAAGCAAATTTTATATAAAAGCCTTCCTCTTGACGTTTTCAATTCAAAGATGCAAATAAAACTGCACTAGACAATTCAGGCCAGGGCAAACCTTCTTCACTAAGGCATTGGTTTATACATTGAATGGGTTAAAATCTTAAATTATTTCACAACAGTTGCTTATGCGAACATAGTGAATAAAAAAACTAGATGAGACCATTCGGTTCAATAAACAAACTGGTGAACTAGTTAGTATTCAGTTTATTTTTAACCCATAAAACCAAATCAGCAAAGAACCAAATGAAGAATTAGTCAAACCAATCTAAACGCTGTGGAAAAAATAGTCAAATTAATTCGAAATGGTTTTTTTTTTCTAAAAAAAAAAATAGGCTCATACGATGTTGTTTTGAAATTTTTACTTAAGGGCTAGCTAGACAATGTTATTTTAAATATTATATTATTTTTCAATTTATTTTTAAGTATAATTTTTGTTTAATGTTATGAATCAATGAATGTTATGTATATATTGAATTTAAATATTAATTGTAAATATATATTATTTAATTAGTATGCTAGTTTATTATTTGATATAATATAAATTAAAAATATATATTAAAGTTATCACTAATTTGACCTCGATTGAACTGATGAACTCTAATCCAATTTTAATAACAATGCTTAAATCAAATCAATCAATCTGGAACTTAACAAACAACAACTATGCTTTAAAATAAAGGAACAAGCAATTCATAAGCACACAAATGCAATCTAAGTGTAAATATTTTGTGTATTAATACGGATATTTTTCAATTCGAGTAAAATATTAAAATTAAATAAAAGATAAAAATATAAATAATATTTAAATTTATAAAATGGATGTATATAATTATTTAAATAAAATGTAAAAATAAAAAAATAAATATATAATAAATATATGCATAATTAATTTAAATAATTTAAATTTAACATTTAAAAGAAGTGAAGTTAAAAATAATACGTATTATTCTTTAAGAGAAAGTAGAATAAGAGATTCAATCACTCTCAAAAGAATAAATTCTAATTTAATAATTAGAGACATAATATTGAAAAGCCAAAACGCTTTTTATTTCTTAACTGCTAGAGGTTAATTAGGGTCTTTTGTTGTTTTGCCGAAAGTGTTAAGCAAAGATTGGTTTGATTATGAAAATAAAATAAAAGGGTTAACTTATCGATAAGCCTGGGCCTTGGTTTCCAGAAAAGGTTGGGCTTAGAGTACAAACTATCCTCATATACCAAATCCAATTTTCAGCAAAAATAAAGATATACTTTTTGCACTGCTACCACCAGGCTAGCCCAAAAACATGTTTAAAAATGAAAATTACATATGAAGTTAAAACTGACTGTATTAAGATCATATCTAATGAAAAAGTAACGGTCTAATTCAGCAGACTATCAGCAAATGTTCTATTTTTGTTTTGATCTTCACTGTCTTTTTAGAAATTAATTTTGGCATAATTTGGGATGAATAAACTCTTCATTTTTTTCAACCAAAGAAATAATTTCTTTATTATTCCTTCCATCCATTTTCGTTTTCCCTTTAATAATAATACAATAGAAACAAAGAAATATATTTCTCATATTCCATAACATAGGTTTCTCTCATACACAAAAAAAAAAAAAATGAATCTTTTTTGCCTCTCTTTTTGTAATAAGTCCTACCCATTTTTTTATATGTTGTATGATAAAAATATGAATTTATCTATTCTTATGTTGTATAAGAGAATGAAGCTTATATCATAAAAATATAGTGACGAGACCTATCACCTAAAAAGTAAAAAGAAAAGAAAAATATTATACAGTTATAAAAAAAATGTATAGAAAGAAAACCTTATTTTATGAAAATAGTTTCTCCTTAATTAAAAATATTCCCTGTAAACAAACTTATGCCCTTGGGCTTTTTGACCCTTATAACCCTTTACTAATAATTAATTACCAAATTGACCTTCATTATAAACTATTTCAAAAATTTAACCCCCTCAAAAAACATAACACCAATCTGCCCCTGTTTGACCGTTGACCACGAAGCCTACCCGGGTACACCTCTACCTACCCGGGTATCTGTTGAAATTTTTTGTCTACCCGAGTAGAGAGATGTGTACCCGGATATTGTTCTTGATTGCTTGAATTATTTACCCGGGTACGGATGAGTGTACCCGGGTAAATCTTGTTCTTATATCAAAAGATTCTGAGGTAAGTGGTCCTCCTTTTCCCTTATTAACTTTAACCTGTTGTATTCCCTATGTATTTATCCTTAATAATGTAGTGTTGGATTATTCATTTCTTTTATTTTTATTTTTTTAAATATCTGCAGTTATGCATTCTTCTTTCATGTTTGCTAGCTGTATTTTGCAATGTGAGCCAGTACCTTTGCATCGGGCGCTTTTCAGCTGTTTCCTTCCAGGTTTTAGGCCACATGAAAACAGTATGTGTTCTGACATTGGGATGGCTGCTATTTGATTCAGAGCTAACTTTCAAGAATATAATGGGAATGATTATCACAGTTTTTGGTATGATAATTTACAGTTGGGCTATGGAAGCTGAAAAGCAGTCCAATGCAAAGACATTTTCTCAAGTGAAAAACAGCCTGACGGAAGAAGAATTAGACTATTGAAGGATGGAGTAGAAAAGAGTCCTCTCAAGGATGTTGAACTTGGTGAGGCTAAAGGATAGATTGACTTAAATCTTGGTGGTAAAATTTAATGGGAAACGAATGCAGTCAATTATAATGTTCATTGCTTTAATTTGGTTTGTGCTTTTTACCCGGGTACACTCATCCGTACCCGGGTAAATAATTCAAGCAATCAAGAACAATACCCGGGTACACACTTCTCTACTCGGGTAGACAAAAAATTTCAAAAGATACCCGGGTAGGTAGGGATGTACCCGGGTAGGCTTCGTGGTCAACGGTCAAACAGGGGCAGATTGGTGTTATGTTTTTTGAGGGGGTTAAATTTTTGAAATAGTTTATAATGAAGGTCAATTTGGTAATTAATTATTAGTAAAGGGTTATAAGGGTCAAAAAGCCTATGCCCTTGACTTTCCTTTCACCTAAAATGTTTATTTAATTTTCACCGACGTTGAACAAAGTGCAAGAGTTTTCCTGTTTGGGAGACAGGCCCATTCTAGCTGGGTCCACACAGCAATAATAATAAGGGACCCACCCCTATGGAAAAAGCCAACCACAATTCTCCTTTTACTCTCTGTCATTTTAAAAGAAAACTAAACAAAACTTTTGTTCCCTCAGTATTAACCCATATATAGCAGCTTAAAATTTTATCATTTTTAAAATCAAGATAGGATAATCTAACTACCTTATTTTTGTGCCTATTTTATATATTTATTTTCAATATTATTATATCAGAATTAACCCATATTAACCCATAATCTAACTACCATATTTTATAACTTTTGTTCCCTCAGTATTAACCCATATATAGCAGCTTAAAATTTTATCATTTTTAAAATCAAGATAGGATAATCTAACTACCTTATTTTTGTGCCTATTTTATATATTTATTTTCAATATTATTATATCAGAATTTCAACTAACTTTTATTTTTTTTCTCTTCTCTTAAAATTTTGATATAGTGATATTAAAAATAAATAGATAAAATGGACATAAAAAATAAGCATAATATCCTATTCCAAAAAAAATATTTGGTGATGGCAATACATTGTGAATCAGTTACATATTTCTAACACCACCTCAACAATTTGAGAGAGAATTTTCAAAATTAAAAGTGACCTACCCCAAAAATCTGAAACTTCTGGTTGAAGTTGATTCTTCCCGTGACCCCTCTAGTTACCTATGCCCTCCATCTTTGATAGTTTCTTCAGAGATCTCTTCAGCTTGATTATAAAATGAAAAATAATTATCTCATATCTCATGCAACAGAGACAAAATAATAAGATTTATTATTTTATTTTACTTTTACTTTTTTCTAAATAATGAATCCCACAATTTTATCTCTGTTGCATGAGATAATTACGAGATTAATAGATCCTTTGTAAAATATGCCATCCCATATGTATATACTGTTGAGCTATAGTTTTTCTAAAAATCTTTGTACACGACAGAATTGAAAGCAATCCACACGCCACTCCATAGGCCATGACAATAGACAGCTGATGACGATGGTCGATGGATGTCATGTCATCAGTAGTATATGTTCTTTTCTAGTCTTCAAGAATCAAGAGCAACGAGTGAAGCGAAGCACATATTTTTCTTTGTGATTAAAATAATAAAATTAATGAATTAGGCAAGTCTCTGTTCTCTTTATCTCTTCATTTATTTTCCAAATTCAGATAAAGAACTCTCTCTCTCGATCTCTAGTCCAACAAGCATTCGAGAATTATTTTTCTAGTTAGATATGAATGAGCGAGCCAACGGAGACATCGATTCTTATTGGCGAGACACATAAAAAGTGAATGAGCCAACGGAGAGGCAATATTATTGGGACATCGGATTAATTTTATTTTATATTTCTTTTTTGTTGGTTTGAATTTGGGCTCATAAATAATTATTATTATT